TTCTATGGAAGCTTGTTTCCGCCGAGTTTTATAAAAAGGGGAAAAGGTCATTGCAATATTATCTAATATTTCAGACTTTTTTTCTCGAAGTTTTGAGTTTGTATCTCACAGTTCTGAGAAGAAAAAAATATGTCAGAAGTGTTGTAATTGTAAAATATAAACTCACAATTAGTGAGAGAAAAAAAAACAGAATTGTGAGATAAAAAGACATTTTTATTTAATTTTTTTTTATTTTCAGGATGGGGAATTGCGAGTTGTAAACTCAGAATTGCAAGGATGAAAGTCAGAAGTCTTGCAATTCTGAGAAAAAGTGAGTCAAAAAGTATGAATTGTGAAATATAAACTCAGAATTATGAGAAAAAAAGTCTGAATTGTGAGATAAAAAAAGGTTACACTTTATTTCGATAGTCCACTTTAGACATTCTACTAACTATAAGTAACTTTGTAACTACATGTCAACTAATTCTCATTAATTTGCAACTACATGTCTACTAACTCTCAGAGTAGACTGTTAGGGTAGGTTTAGGGTTAGTAGAATAAGTTGACAAAGAAATTGTTAGAAGATATTAAGCAAACATATTCTACTAATACTCTACTAACTGCTAGTTGACATGTAGTTGCAAAGTTACTTACTGTTAATAGAATGTCTAAAGTGGACTATCGAAATAGTGTTACCTAAAAAAAAAAAAAATTGTAGTTGCCTTTTTTTTAAAATTCCATGGTGGAAATAGATGGAAATAACATGTCGATGTTGTTACTACCTGTTACTTTTCTCAGCGCTGGTCAGGATGGACCAATCATAGTCATTTGTGATTCCCAGATAAGGATTTATTCATCATTTCACACAGTACAGAGTGAAAGATATCTGTATGCGCCCACGGTCTCCAGAGCGTCTCCATGTGCTCACTGGCATCTGCTAGCTCCCCCCCCCCAGAGAATATAATTTAAGATTGTTTATTTTTAATAAATGTATTCCTCCCTCATTAACAAATTATTTTAAGCATGTCTAACATGATTAATTTTAATTATGGATGACTTAGTTTCGAAACAAGATGCAAAAGCGCCTGTTTGGCAATATTTTGGATTTTGAAAAGCCTGTTGACATTTGCCGTTTATCTAAGCTGATTTTGGAAGTTTTTTTAAACATTTGTTTCTTATGTAACTGGTTCCAGAGTGTTTGCTGATTTTTACTTTATTTAAACTTTGTGTCATTTATTTATTTTATTTGACATCAAGGTGTATGCCGTGCCTCCAAGCTTTCTTACTCGTTTTGCGAATAAACGTTCTACGTTTCTTATTTATTTGGTTATATATTATACATGTTTACTCATTTCCAGTTTTGTATACGTATTTAAACTTTATGTAAGTTATTTGTTATTTTATATTAGGCATAGCCTGCCCTATAGCATGGTGTATTTTTATTTGTTTCGTTAATAAAAGTTCTATGTTTTATATATACGCTAAAGTGAGTTTGACTTGTTGCATTCAAGCAATTGACGCCGAACTGCCGCTATTTGAAAGTGAAAGTAAACTGTGCATGCAGCTTTTACAAGCTATTTAAAAGCGAAGGAAAGCAAGGAAAAGAGGGACAATTCAAACAAAGTAAAAACTAACAATTGCTTTACGCCGAATTGCCGCTATTTGAAAGTGAAAGTAAAATGCGCACGCCTCTTTTACAAGCTATTTAACCCTCTTAGCGCCAAAGTCGCAAAATTGCGACAAGACGTCATACTTAATAAAATAGACTGTAGTTCCTAATATGGTGTAATATCTCATTTGTATTCCCTACCATTAGATGACAGACATGTAATACTTCGATTCTAGAGCAAAATTACATCACCAAACGACGTTGCCGCTTAACACCGGTATCACCGTCAACACCGTCTATCGCAGCAAGCCTAGTTTGGCAGGATTTAACATTTTATATATATATATTATATATTACTTTTTTAAGAATCTTTTCATAAGAGTAATTCTTTCATGGCATGACAAAGTAGAAAATAAATAAATAAATAAATAACGTAAAGTAAGTAAAATAAACTTAGTCAATACAAATTGTAGTTTGAACCCCGTTTAATTGAACCCCGTTTTTTTTTTTTAATGAAATTGTTATTCATTCTTTTATTCAGCATGGAAACATGTTTGGCAGGACTTAAAAATGTATTTAGAATTTTTTTTACATTTTAAGTAAATTAATTTAAGTAAAGTAATTTTATGACATAACAGGTTTTGCGGTATGTTTGTTTGTTGTGTGAAACTAGTAAGGACACTGATTTAAGAAGATCTGCTTCCAATTTGGTCTGCTTTGCCTGTTTGGTTTGTTAATGGAACGAAACGTCATGAAACTCATCCAGTTTAAATCATCCAATTTAGAAAATGAAAAAAAAAACAGTCCAGTTAATGCAACAATTTTCTATCAAACTTCATGTCGCAGCTGTTTCCTTTGGAGCTTCATCAGCGTGGCTTCTCGTTGCCTGTGGTTGTCTGTGGATGTGCTTTGAGAAGTAAAACCCTGTCATTTCAGCTCTGCCAACTGTTTTTAGTTCTATTTTTAGACAGGAGTTCAGTGAAGTTTGTCTGGGGACCTAGAGAGCTGCCCAGATCCTCAGCACTGATCTTCATCAGGAGAGAATGAAATCATATTAGAAATCTGATTTCAGAATAGAACAGAATAGATGAGCAAAATGATTCTTTGTTGTTTATGTCGTGTTGTTTTACACTGGACTGTTCTAGTGGTTTACGCTGACAGTGATTTGTGAAGACCCAACAAATGCATGCCGTTTATTTTTTCTGTGGAATTAAGGAAATTTGAGTGTCAGCGATACAGCAAAGCTGAGCACAGTTGAATTTGAATGCGCTGTTATGTGATTTATTTATTTATTGTGGAAAAAATCTTGTTACTTTACATACTGCTGTTTATTTGTCTGTCTGTCTGTCTGTCTGTCTGTCTGTCTGTCTGTCTGTCTGTCTGTCTGTCTGTCTGTCTGTCTGTCTGTGTCTATCTGTCTGTGTCTATCTGTCTGTCTGGCTGTCAATCGTTCTATCTATCTATCTGTCTGTCTGTCTGTCTGTCTGTCTGTCTGTCTGGCTGTCAATCGTTCTATCTGTCTGTCTGTGTCTGTCTGTCTGTCTGTCTGGCTGTCAATCGTTCTATCTGTCTGTCTGTGTCTGTCTGTCTGTCTGTCTGGCTGTCTGTCTGTCTGTCTGTCAGTCTGTCTGTCTGTCTGTCTGGCTGTCTGTCTGTCTGTCTGTCAGTCTGTCTGTCTGTCTGTCTGGCTGTCTGTCTGTCTGTCTGTCAGTCTGTCTGTCTGTCTGTCTGGCTGTCAATCGTTCAATCTATCTATCTATCTATCGTTCTATCGTTCTATCGTTCTATCTGTCTATCTATCTGTCTATCTGTCTGTCAATCGTTCTATCTATCTATCGTTCTGTCATTCTATCGTTCTGTCATTCTATCGTTCTATCTATCTATCGTTCTATCTCGTTCTATCTATCTGTCTGTCGTTCTATCGTTCTGTCATTCTATCGTTCTATCATTCTATCTATCTCTCTATCATTCTATCTATCGTTCTATCTATCTGTCTGTCTGTCTGTCTGTCGTTCTATCGTTCTATCATCTATCTATTCACACTTACACACATAAACTCAAACATTATAATTACTCGCATGCTAATTACTGTTTTCTCACAAACAGACTCAGGTTTGAAAGCATTTTAAAAGTGCACTTCAGGGAAAACCAAAAACAAATGTCACAAATGTGAAGAATATGCTTCCATTTAATTATAATTCATTTATTCATCATTGCACACTCGTGTGAAATGGCTGCCTTTAAAACTGAAGATGCTGTTGATTCTCTCAATCCCAATCAAAGTGGCAATGCTCCTAAAGATGCAATTAGTCCCTGACGGGCTAATTAATCTCTACCAACGCAGAGACTCTACCTGTTGTGTGGATCATTAGAGGCGTGCAGTCGCTCACTTAGCTTCCGAACGTTAATCAGCTTCCCTCTTTCGATAGATGATTTATTTATCATGGCACGAGTGATGACCCCAGCTATAAATTCTAATGATCATTAAAACATGATGAGGTGTTTATCAGCTCGCTGGACCCTGAAAGCTTGTAGGGGGTTCTTTTGATATAACCATTTGAAGATACTGGTAGGTGTGCGCCCTCTTCAAAAAACGTACACAAGGAATTAGTTTCCACACCATCTGCTACAAACCTCATGAATTAGCTTACATAAACACATGCACAAATAATGTGTATGATGTGAAAAGGCTTACAGTTATTTGAAGTACAAATTATTGATTTATACTAAAGCAAGCATCAATGCTGTATTTATTTGATTTAAAAAAATGCAGTAATATTGTGAAATATTATTACAGTTTAAAATAACTGTCTTCTATTTGAATACATTTTAAAATGTCATTTATTCCTGTGATGAAAAGCTGAATTTTCTTCACAGTCTTCAGTGTCACATGATCTTCAGAAATCATACTAATATGCTGAATTGCTGCTCAAGAAACATTTATTATTATTATCAATGTTGAAAACAGTTGTGCTGCTTAATATTTTTGTGGAAACGGTGATGCATTTTTTTTGAAAACCAAAAAAAAAAAGAAGTGTTTTTTTTCTTTTTCTCGAATTTTTTGAAAATTCAACATAACAGCATTTATTTGAAATACAATTTTTATAACATTTATCTTTTTTCCCACTTTTGATCAGTTTAATGCTTGCTGAATAAAAGTTTAAATTTCTAAATAAATGTTCTTACTGCCACTTTAACTTGGTAGGGTATATAATTTATATAATACATTTTTGATTCATTTATTTGTTTTAAAACCAATTTTTGTCATATTGGCGACCTAGATACCACAGAATCTGTCCCTTTTTCTAAGTGATGTGCTACATAATCATTCCTTGAAAATTGGCTTCAAAATGAATTGTTATATAACCATTGCTTGAGAAGTTAAAAGCACTCCTCTTTATGTTTGTTTCAGTTGCTTATCTCGGAGACATCGCGCTGGATGAGGAAGATATGCGCATGTTTAAAGTGGACCGCATTGTGAATTTAGCAGAGAGAACAGTCACAGTTCTGAATCACACAGATGCGGGTAAGTGTGCATGTATGGTGCATTTGAGTGCATGGGCCTGCTTTATATAAACTTTGTGCCAGGCTTAATTGGCAGTCAGAGACTCAGGAAGAGAACTTGAAGCCATATGTTTTTAAACCAATAGAGAAAAACCTGTCGAGAAACAGTTCCCACTTTCCCAAACACAACAACACATTGCAATTGGGATCTGACAAAATGACAGCGAATTTTCTCATAATTAGCCTTTAGCTTTATGATATTTTCACCCCAGAAGGAAGTTTGCAGAGGAGGGGAAAAAACATGAGATGATAAAGAAATGGGAACAAGGGACAGAATTCAACGTCAGATAAGACGAGTCTGTTTTGCTGTCTAGTCCAGTCTGTGTGTAGGAGTTGTAACCGAGCATTCAAAACAATAGAAAAAAACGTGCTGTGCTATAACAGAATATGAACAGATTTGAGTTAGTGGTTACCGTTGAGCTCAGTAGACAATTTAAAGTCTCATATTTGTAAATGGCACATACATTGGCCACAAAAAATGTATTTGGCTCCTCTTTATGTTTGTTTCAGTTGCTTATCTCGGAGACATCGCGCTGGATGAGGAAGATATGCGCATGTTTAAAGTGGACCGCATTGTGAATTTAGCAGAGAGAACAGTCACAGTTCTGAATCACACAGATGCGGGTAAGTGTGCATGTATGGTGCATTTGAGTGCATGGGCCTGCTTTATATAAACTTTGTGCCAGGCTTAATTGGCAGTCAGAGACTCAGGAAGAGAACTTGAAGCCATATGTTTTTAAACCAATAGAGAAAAACCTGTCGAGAAACAGTTCCCACTTTCCCAAACACAACAACACATTGCAATTGGGATCTGACAAAATGACCTTTAGCTTTATGATATTTTCACCCCAGAAGGAAGTTTGCAGAGGAGGGGAAAAAACATGAGATGATAAAGAAATGGGAACAAGGGACAGAATTCAACGTCAGATAAGACGAGTCTGTTTTGCTGTCTAGTCCAGTCTTTGTGTAGGAGTTGTAACCGAGCATTCAAAACAATAGAAAAAAACGTGCTGTGCTATAACAGAATATGAACAGATTTGAGTTAGTGGCTACCGTTGAGCTCAGTAGACAATTTAAAGTCTCATATTTGTAAATGGCACATACATTGGCCACAAAAAATGTATTTGGACTAGGGCTGGGCGATATAGCTAAAAAATGTATCAATGATATAATGTTTCATATCGTTCGGTATTGATAATTATTGACATTATTTTATAACCTTTTTTAAAACAAAGAGCAATAGAATTTAAAAAAAAAAAAATTTGAACCACTGTATTTTTTAAATTAAAAACCCAATTCATTGAGACAATTTATTTTTTTTGTTTTAACAGTCAAACACACAATAAAAATTAAACAAATATCTAATTTTGAATGTTTTATATGCCGATTAAATAGGTCTTAAGGAAACTTTTGACTTGTCTCCCGAAGCCACAGAAGGGCGCAATTCACTCTGATTGTATTTAAAAACATATGAGATGCAGTGAAAAGGAATAAACCTCCACAAATTCGCGATGTGTTTTCTAAAAGTTTAAACTGTTTTAACTTTGCATGGCTATATCTCTTGTGTGAGACGCGAGTGCAGCAGTCGTATTTGTCCGTCTAAAAAATGCGCTGAATATGTGTTCTGTGTGAATGTCTTGGTATCGGTTTTAACCCATTCAAGATGTTCTCCGCATTGAGTTTCTGTAATATTTTGAATGCATAACGCAGCAGCGGCGCATCTCGTGGGCTAGACTAACAAAACATTAAAATACAACAACGTTACTTGCATCACCACCGCATCTCGTGCTCCGCTGATGACGCTCCCTGACACACTCCTAACATTTAATTGTACTATTTTTGCATTCAAATGCAAATGTTTATTTTAAATTCGACTAATATAAATTTTTCACAGGCAGTCACAGCACTCAATTCAGCATGTGTTCATGTTTGTGTGTGCTGTCTGCGTCACTCAGAGCACGTGCCTATATCGAAAACTTTTTATATCGTTATCGAAGAAGGTGTACCGTCGATAAATATCGTTTTATCGCCCAGGCCTAATTTGGACTCTTTTGATCTAGATCAAAGAATATCAAACAAAACATATCATAAAAAAAGTTTGTCAAGTTTTAAATGATAAAACGGTAGTTTAAAATGAACACAAAAAGTATTTGGACTGATTCAGGTTGCCAGATGTTAGTGGAAAATGCTCTTACAATTTAGCAAATGTGGGTTATTTATTAAAGCAATAAGCCCCAAGAAGCCGTGGTTTACAGTGAATTTATAACAGCTAAGGGGCGTTGTTAGGCACGACGCGAAGCTTAGCTGTTATAAAAATCACTGTAAACCACGGCTTCACGGGGCTTATTGTATAACAGCTAAGGGGTGTTGTTAGGCACGACGCGAAGCTTAGCTGTTATAAAATCACTGTAAACCACGGCTTCACGGGGCTTATTGCTTTTATAAAACGGTTATTCCATATACGTAGTAAGATTTCACAGAATAAAACCGAGCAAATAAAGTGTAATGATATTAATAAAAACTGTATTTTTCCACCAAACAATGTAGTTCCTCAGAAACCGTTGAGGTTCCAACAAAGTGGCTGCAGAGTAACACACAGAAGTATACAAAGGTGTGTGTTTGTGTGTGAGTAATTTACAACAGCTTCGAACGCGGCTCAGCCAATCAGAATCAAGGACCAGAACTATCCGTTTTATAATTAAATGTAAATGTAAGATGTAGAAGATGATGTGTAATCTCTCTTTCTCTGAAACTTGTGATGGTGAGGTTCCAGACTGACGGTTTGAGTTTCTCTTCATTTGGTGTCGGAAATGTTAGGTTCACTTAACAACGAGACGAATACAAACGATACGGCGTCCAGTCGGGGATCCTACCGCAGGAAGAGGGCAGCGACGTCCAGACCTGAGAGGGTGTGGCCCGAGGGCGTCATTCCTTACGTCATCAGCGGGAACTTCAGCGGTAAGTCATGTACACATGCACAGCTTTCCATGTTTAAGTTTTAGTGGAAAACAGCAGCCATGTGATCGATAACATCTGTTTGATTATAGTACTGTAGGAAAAACACGTTTGTGGAAGAAATCACACATTCATGTGTCTGAAATCGGTCAGTCTAACCTCATGTCACTCCATTTGTTTGACTTTTTTTCTTGTGGAGCTCAAAAGAAGTTGTTTTTGGAACTCAATTATAAAAGAACTGCTTTACTTTTAAAGTAATACAAAGATGAAAAGGTGTTTTTCTTTGCTCATGTGTTATCTTGCATAAGGCAGCGAAATGACAAAACACAACGCATAGGTGCATGACATTCCTGGTGCACCTGTACACAACATTGCTGAATTTTGAAATATTTATTTAAATGATAATTACAAAACTATATGAAGACATAAAATGTGCAAGTTTGATTTGCAAAACCTTATGATTATGTTCTCCAGCATGATTTGATAATGATCCAAAGAACATCTAGTGCTTCAGTGGAATCAAGTCTGGAATCTGATGGTCACATGATGAGAGTCACATGAGCTGTGTCCCAAATGATGCACTACTATGCACTTACACCCTATGTACTTATGCACTATGTACTCAACTGTGTAGTGTATGACATATATAAGGTTATTTTGTCATTCAGCATAAGTCTTAATTAAAGCTGTGACAGTGTCCAACATTCCACACTTTGTTTTTTCCAGTTAATTAAGTGCATCATCCGGGTATTTAAAGTCCACTTTTTTTGTTTTGAAATTTCAGTGTGAACGCACTCCTTGCGCTATTTATACTACAAAACGGCATTGAATAGTGCATACGCTAATTGGGACACACCTAATGTGTCTCAAAATTATTTATTTGTGACCCTGGAGCACAAAATCAGTCTTAAGTCGCTGGGGTATATTTGTAGCAATAGCCAAAAAAAACATTGAATGAGTCAAAATTATCGATTTTTCTTTTATGCCAAAAATCATTAGGATATTAAGTAAAGATCATGTCCTATGAAGATAATTTGTAAATTTCTTACCGTAAATATATCAAAACGTAATTTTTGATTAGTGATATGCATTGCTAAGAGCTTCATTTGGACAACTTTAAAGGCGATTTTGTCAATATTTTGATTTTTTTTGCACCCTCAGATTCCAGATTTTCAAATAGTTGTGTTCCTAACAAACCACACATCAATGGAAAGCTTATTTATTCAGCTTTCAGACGATGTATGAATCTAAATTTCAAAAAAATTGACCCTTATGACTGGTTTTGTGGTCCAGGGCCATTTAATTAGTGACCTAAAATTAATATAGAGTGATTTATTTATTTATTGCCATTTTATTCATATTTTTTCTCTGTCTTAAATGAATTCTAAAATGTTCTGTTTATTTTCCAGGTTTAAGTTAGATTTTGAATCTAAGTGATTTGTATGCGAAACAATTTTTGGTTGACTTCGCAATGAAAACCACAATTGTTAAGATACATATCTTGTTATAAAATTGTTATATAAAATTACTCCTGCTTACCAGGTTTAAGTTAGATTTTGAATCCAGGTGATTTGAATGTGAAACATATTTTGGTTGACTTTGTGAAGAAAACCACAATATTATGATATATCTATTATTATAATATTGTTATTAAACTCTTTCCCCGCCAGCATTAAAAAAAAAAAAGTTTCCAGCCACCACCGGCATTTTTGATCATTTTCACAAAAATGTCATGGCCTCCAGAATATTTTGTTGTATGAATATCTGAACATGCAATGCTTTTAAACAACAACAACAAACACCATTATTTTAGCTTCATGCAATATTTTTTATCAACACTTGAACGTGGACAAGTTTCATAAAAAAAAGCAACGTTTTGAACAAAAAGCTGAGAAAATCACATTTTTGTCAAAGACTGCATCCGGATCGGATTCAGATCGATGATCAAAAGATAGCTGGAGATTTCATCAACACCTCCAAAGCTTCACAGTCCTAAACCACTTCCCGGATCGTCATTTCATTCGGTAATGTAAGGCAGTTTTGATTTATATGCTGTTTAATGTTTGTTATTTTACGTATGCTTCTGCTTACATATGTCTTACATACATCTATCAGAAGATGTAATCGCACCTCCTACAGTATAACAGTGAATACACGGAAATCTGGAAAATCCAGTCGATATCGAGGAAGCGTTGTCTCGTAAATAATGGCGGGGAAAGAGTTAAAATTACTCATGCTGTGATTTAAAGGTGCAGTTGCATTTACCATTGTTCGGCAAATTGTTACAGGCGAAATCCAGTCATTTCAATATTTATCCACACAAATGGGATTTCCACGCAAGATAACGATTCCCCTACGCAGATTTCGCAACGGATGCAAGTTGGTCACGCAAATTTGCCGCAGTGACCATTAGAAAGCGGTTTATTTTGAAAGTGGCTTCTGTGTGAGCTGTGCTTCAAACATCGCTACAATACTGACAATAGACAATGGGCAATTTTGCCTGTGCAAAATCGGCAAAATTTCACAGATGTCACCGGCACCTTACAAGTTTGGTCACCCTGCTCACGTGTGTGTGTGTGTGTGTGTGTGTGTGTGCTGTACAGGAAGCCAGCGAGCCATATTCAGACAGGACATGAGACACTGGCACATGTGTGACGTTCATCGAGAGAACAACAGAGGAGAGCTACATTGTCTTCACCTACCGGCCGTGTGGGTAAGTGTGTGTGTTAGCGGATATGTGCAGGCTTCACAGGGAGGTGTGTGTGTGTGTCCGTGTCAATGTGAGAGAGAGTTTCCACAGCAGGAGGACGAAACCTTTGACTCTTCCAGGAAGGATTCAAGCTTGCTTCTCTCGCTCATGTGGAGCGTGTGCTTTTCACTCTTTTCTTTCACTCTCTCCTCTTTCTTTTCGGTCTCTTCCTGATTTATCGCTCAAGTGGTTTTCCATCCGATCCGTTCCTCTGTTCCCCTTATCTGCTTTGTGCGCCAATAGATGGATTTGTGTGTTTGTGTGTGCGTGTGGGCTCTCGAGTCTTGACCGAGCGATTACTCTATGCTTCGCTGAGGAAATACCAGTCGTTTGTGTCACACTGTTCTCCACGGGACTGTCACCTGAACATGTGTGTTTTATCCGTACACAATGGCTCCCCGTAGATGCTTCAGTAGCGTGGCAGAAGTTCAGAGCCCAGCTTGACGGTCACATCCGTTGGAGACAAATCAGTCCCCGGGATGCCGTGTTGGCACGTCGGTTTTGCTCTGCTGGAAAACAGGATTTATTTTGCTCTTTTGAATTGTGCGGTTGACAAACGTTCACCACTCAAAGCTCGTCCGCAGACCACAGAACATTTTGCGAAAGTTGTGTGGAAATCATCACGAATGACAATAAACGTCTGGCTTGGAATATCAACACACATTCAGTGTTCAGCATCTCGGCCTGTCAAGATGAATATGTTTATTCATATGTATGATTATACATATGTTGGACATTTATAAAGTTGTTTCCATATGAAAGTCTTGGAATCAAAAAAGACTGTAATGTGCAGAGAGAGGGTGGATGGTCATGAAAAACAAAACGTTTTTTGGTGCAAGAAACCTTGATTAAGAGTATAATCGACCCAAAAAAATATATGACAGAAGTGTAGAATATGAATTCTTTTAATAACAGTTAGATTAACAAACAGTTAAACTAAAACTTGCACCTTGAAGAAATACAATATTTTTTGAAGGGTAAAGTTGCACAATCTGTTACCTTAAAAGTAGATCCCTTATTTCATTGAACATCGTTATTATGGCATGGTAGGATACCCAGGAGGTGGTAAGATGGGATTTTGTTGCAAATAATATTGGAATTTTTTTTTTCTTTTTTTTTCTTAAAGTCATGAAAAATATAGTCTGAGATTACTGTAACTTCTAACTTGATGTCCTAATCTCAAAATAAACATACTAAACATACTTAAAGTCATGAAAAATATAGTCTGAGATTACTGTAACTTCTAACTTGATGTCCTAATCTCAAAATAAATCAATAAACATACTAAACATAAACATAGAGAGAGAGAGAGAGAGAGAGAGAGAGAGAGAGAACACTGATTGGATAGATGATAAACAAATGCATAAAGTTATTTTTTTTCTTTTTTGCCCCCTATAAAGTCTATACAATTTAACCATAGAAAAATTACAAATGAGATGGTGTTTATATATATATATATATATATATATATATCTCCATCAGAAATTAGATTAAATGGAGAAAGAAATTAACATAAAACTCTTTGTCAGATGACAAAAAGTAAGCTCACGTTTCTAAAGAGTTTTTGAAGAAATGTCAACAATGTCTTTAAATTTGGCCAAATTCACTAAAATAAAATACAAAATTCTAAATAAAATTCAAAACACATACAAAATTTGGCAGTCAGATTTTACTTCTGCATTTCATTTGGCAATTTTGCTTTCTCACTGAATAAACAAAACAAAACACTACTATGCTGGGTTATTATAGTACACTAAAACTAAATCTAAAACCATATTTTTGTTACTTAAAATAAAACTTAAAACTGAAATACGAAAATATATATATATACATATATATACACTACTATATTACTAAACTTTTAGCTAGTTGTCTAAGCAAAATTTTCATTTAGTTTATCTTCATGTACTAAAATAACTAAAAGCTAAAAAAGAAATACAAATTTATAAAAACGATACATACAAACAAAAACCTGACAAAACACAACACATTTACTAAAACTTTAACGAAACTTAAAATGAAAATTACAACGGAATAACAGAGCCTAATTCAAATTATTAAAAAAACCTATCTAGTATTTAATATCTCAAAAGATACTAAAATAACAATGCTACTGTCATAAAACAAACTCAAAACACCTTTGAGGAAAAAAGTGCATACAAAAGCAAATGATCAATACACGGTTAATACTGTAACAAACTTGTAATGCACACTTTTATTACATTTTATTATATTATTTATACTACTATTAGCACCTGTTAGAATAACGCTGGTGTATTAATAATGACACAAGATGATAGATACAAGTCAGGGATTTTAATATGACAATTTCATCATTTTTCATAAACAAATGATCAGAGCTGTGCCATTCATATTCTATCAGTCTAGAAGTAATAATACTAAACTATCGGCTCTACACTGTCACATTGGTGTCCATTTTGGTGTCCAATGAATTTTAGGAGAAACAAAGTTGATACCTGAAAGGAAACGTCTATTAAAGAGCAATAAATAACGTCTGGCAATCTGAGCAATGAACGTTTCCTTTGGGAAATTATCCAGAGCATACAATGTCTCATACTGTCTACATTTATAAGCGAGATGAATACAAAACTAAACCAATGATTTCCTCCGAGAACTTGTTTACAAACGAAGGAAGAAAGTCATACTGACAGAGACAAATGTAACAGACTGTTTGCTTTCTCACTGTTTAAGCAGACGTGCCGTTGCGGTCGGGCAGCGAGGGGAAACTTCAGAAAATATAGAGCTGCTCAGGCTTTGCCAGGCATTTCAGTTCTGTGTGGAAGTACAGGGGGCCTTTATGTCCCACTGCAGGCCATGATGGGCACACAAACAGTGTGTGTGTGTGTGGAGGTGATGAAACATTAAGATATTTTCCTCTTTACATGCAGCAGTAGTTGCCAATGGGTAAGCCATGCTCTGATGAGCCCCTGTGTGTGTGTGTGTGTGTGTGTGTGTGTGTGTGTGTTCAGGCGATTCCTGTCGTTCTGTGCAAAGTTCAAGGCAGAGTTTCTGGAGCGGGCCGCTGGCTGCCTCGTAATTAAAGACTGATCTTTTGCACCCACACAGGCTGCACACGTGGGTTCGGATGTGTGTGCGCAGATCGCAGGCAAGCGAGCTCTCAGCAGTTTTTCTCCCACATATCCCAGCGCTCTGAGAAAGGGATCGTTTGATTGTGTGTTTAGTGTGTTGGTGTGTGTCTCACCGCTGTGGCTCCTCGCACAGACTCCCCTGTTTCTCTGTGGATTTTGCAACATGTAGCTCTAAGCAAACTTACAAAACAAACGATGCGTGACATTTTGTTCGAGTTCACGTTGTGTCCTGTTTCAGTTTGTGACTTCGCTTGCTTGTGTGTTTTTGAGTAGAGAGAAAAAGGCCAGTTTTCACATAAACATATTACATGATTCGAGATAAGAACAGTGTTTGAGCTAATTTTGAGATAGGTTTTTCGTTGTTTTACAGTGTTTTATTTGATTTTTATTTGTGTGTGTGTGTGTGTGTGTTTGTAAAACATGCTTAATTGTCATGAAAATAATGCAAAAATATGAATGGTCCTAAAAATAGGTTTAATAGTTTATTACATTTAGAATTAAATAATTTTTCTTGTCTGTGACTTTAGAAATTCACTAATGATATAGCCTATAAAATATTATTTGTAGCAGTGTTTTACCCTCTTTATTATATTAAATATTTTAAGCACATTGTAGTGTTTCTTAAAATTTACCCACAATTTTGTGTGTGTGTGTGTGTGTAAAATAAATAAATAAATAAATAAAAATGCAAAAATATGAATGGTCCTAAAAATAGGTTTAATTACATTATGAAAAAAATAAATTATATTTATATTTATATATATTAAAACAGTTAATTAATAAAATAAATGAAAATATATGTATTAAATCAAATAATTAATTATACATGGAATATGAATACTATATAATTATAATATAGTTAAAATGTTTTAATATTAATTAAGATATTTATAAGTATCTTAAGATAATTATAATTATAATTACTAAATATGAATCATTAATAACATGTGCAATTAATAATAAGAATAAGAATAAGAATAATGAAACTTTTTACACTATATTTTGGGTGAAATATAACCCAAACCTTTCTTTGTGATATTCACCCAGTCATCATAATACGCAAAATACATGTCTTGAAATGTATGACAAAAAAATGACTGAAAGATAATGACAATGATTTCAACCACAGGGTATTTTCTTAATATTTTTGTGATCAGTGGAATGATGAATCACATGAACTTGAGATATTAATTATAATATAGTTAAAATGTTTTAATATTAATTAAGATATTTATAATTATCTTAAGATAATTATAATTATAATTACTAAATATTAATCATTAATAACATGTGCAATTAATAATAAGAATAATTAAACTTTTTACACTATATTTTGGGTGAAATATAACCCAAACCTTTCTTTGTGATATTCACCCAGTCATCATAATACACAAAATACATGTCTTGAAAAGTATGACAAAATAATGATTGAAAGATAATGACAATGATTTCAACCACAGGGTATTTTCTTAATATTTTTGTGATCAGTGGAATGATGAATCACATGAACCTGAGATATTAATCAAGTATTAACGGTAATATGAACTGTGATGTTATAAACCTCTGCAGGTGCTGCTCGTATGTGGGCCGGAGAGGAGGGGGTCCGCAGGCCATATCCATCGGGAAGAACTGTGATAAGTTTGGGATTGTGGTGCACGAGCTCGGTCACGTGATCGGATTCTGGCATGAGCACACGCGACCCGACAGAGACGATCATGTCAGTATCATACGGGACAACATTCAGCCAGGTAAGAAAAACACCAGCCGCAAAATATCACTCACATG